TATAGTTATCCTTATAGTTATTGTTTTTGGTGTGAATGGGCCTTAAAGATGTCCTGACCATAATTATAACGCACAAAGGAACTATATGGCTTTAGTCGATTTTTTTCCGGTTGATGAAAGATTAAAACGTTGACAGCCAATCAGAATCCACCTGAATTTAAAGAGCCAGAATTTCAAGGACTGACCATAAAAAAATTTGAATAAATAAAAAGTCATGGTGGGTTGGTGTGACCTACTGTAGCCATGCCCCCTTTCAGCAATGCGCAAATTGTCTTCTGTCTTCCGGTTTGTATTTCCACAGCATGAAGGTATAAGATCTTAGCGATTTATGAATGGCTCCTTTTACAATCTTCCAGGTTTACTGACATTTGTTATGATACCTGCTTCAAACATTACAATGCTCATGATAACTTTCGTTAACGCTACACAAGTAAATCCACTTCACCGGCTAATTACTCTTTGACAGCAATGCCATAGAAATAGCTATAACAGAGCTACTGCAAAAACGAAGATCAAAGACAGCATTCTAAAGAGGGTTGCGCACTTGTTTCTCTGGCGCATAAGCTCTATAGTTATAGTTACCTTTATAGTTATCCTTCTTGGTTTGAACAGGTCTTTATTCAATATGTAAATATTGCAATGACATTATCACTGTCAGTTAGATTTTGAATGGTGAACATTTTCACAAAGTCATGACATTTTCAAATTTTATTATTAAGAAATATTATTTTTATATAGCCTACAAAACAAAAGTCTCAGTGCATTTGAATGGGCATTTACTTGCAGAAACTTATGGAAAAGAAAAATAAAAGAACACGGATTCCAATACAATGCTGCTATGAAAATTACATTTTATGTTCACAAATATATAAAACACACAGCATCTGGTCATTATAGTGGCATCGTGTTAGACATGAACAGTGGCATACCTTCTAATTTCTGACTCAACATATTCACTGTTCTCAGTTCAGAGAGAGAACAGGACACAAGGAAGATCATCCTACTCTCTCTCATTTCTTCTCCTCTCCTCTCTGCTTTTGTCCATCCGGTGAGAGAAAAATAGATGGTTATTCTAAAAGGTGCTGATTTCAGCTATAAACTGTAGGGGGAATGCGTGTGATGTTCAATAAGGCTTTCCCATACAGAGACGGAGTAGAGAAGACAAACTCGTTTATGAGCAACACACAACCCTGTCCTCCTGTATTACTCACACACTAAATTCTGCTTTATACACACACAAACTACAGCAACACTTCAGGGGATTTGTGTGTAGTGTGTGTTTTTCGCCTACCAAGCAAATGCAGGTGCAAATCTAGACTTTAAATCACTGTTGCACATGCATTTTTGAAAATAGCATGAGCTCAACATCTTAAACCAACAAGCAATTCTCTAGCAACCATGAATACAATAGCAACTGCATAGCAACACCCTGGCAACCACCTACAACAATATGAATATGGGTAGTATGAATGAAATTCGAACATAGTACATCCACTATGTTGTTACTATCACGTGATCTGCCAGCATCAATTGCATCGCTGCATTGCCATTCATAAATCCTCTACCATGGCCTCATGAGAGAGTAAAGTGTCAATCGAATGCATACTTCAGAATTTTGGCGGAAGTACTGTCATCTTTTTGCCTACTGTTTTTTGAATACTATGAATTTGGACATACTACCCTTTTTCACATACTATATAGTAGGGAAGTATTCAATTTTGCATTCAGCAATAGTATTCGAAAAAACAGTAGGCAAAAAAAGTACACGGATGACCTACTACTTTGGCCGAAATTCTGGAGTGTGCATTCGATGGACACTTTACAGAGTCATGCAACTTGGCGGAAGTATGTCCGAATTTCAGTCATATTGCCTATATTCATAAGGTGCATCACAAATCATGTGCTAATGCACTATTCTAGATGTTTTGTAGTATAAATAGTGGGAGTAGCGTGTTCACACTGAAAATTCCACTTTAAATACCTGGATGCTGCACTTAAATAACCCAAAAAACGAAGTGTGGAATGTTGAACACTTCATGCACTCAACTGTCGCAGCTTTAATTACGTTGCGAAGGGGAAGGGGCTATCAGACTCTGATTATTAATGACAAAATAACCTTATAAAATTCATACACTACATGGTTGAGTACTCAGGACCATCCTTTGGGTGGTGCAACTGGTGTGGTCACACCGGGCCCCGCACTTTGATGGGGCCCCACGGCGGACAGAACGTGATCACGAACGGACCGAGGGGGACTCCTAAAGAGTCAGCTAAGGACGGCCCTGCTACATAATGCATAAGTACATAGTGTATAAGTGCATAGTATATAGTGCGTCATTTGGGACACAGTTAAATTACATAGAATGTAAATTTTTTTAATGGTTGCGATGTTTCAAACTAAATGTAGTACCTACTACACAGTATGTGATTTTGGATGCAGTGTGTTATTGTGTCCAGCTGTGATAAAACAAGCAATAGGGATTTCGCCTAGGGCGTCAAATTGGTTAGAAACGGCACTGTGTGTGTGTGTTTGTGTGTGTATTGAAATATAATAAATATAATAATAAAAAATATATATACACACAACAAATATTAAATTTGATATTGATATTCCGTCTATTTCATGCACTGGAAATGGAAATTCAAGATGAGCAGATTGCATTTTGGAATACATTACCCAATACGTTTGCAACTTTGCATGTTTGCAGGTTGCATAGTATGCATAGTATACTTACTAAATTATTCAGAAAGGGCGAGAGTATAGACCATTCCAGTTTAAAGAACAGACCAATTTTGCATTGTTTTACTGTTTCGATATGTGATTTGCTGAACTTAATTTATTGTATTTAAGGAAAACAGAGCGGTGCATATTTTAAGAGCTGTTATTGAGGCAAGACTTCTGCAACCACCTTGAAAGAAGACTTAGCCTACACATCTGCATATACAATCATATGTTTTATCAGTTATAGAGAATATTTGCTGACTTGCACGCGCATATATTATCCAAGCTATGCTACATGTTTTTAATTATGTCTTAATGTTTCAATTCGAGCATGTAACCCTGTAACCTCAGCTTTATATTCTCTCTCTTAACTGCATGCCTGTAGTCTCTCTCTCACACGCGCACGCACACACATTTTAGGCCTGGAAAATTAATGAGCTCGCATTCATAACCCAGACAGAGAGAGCTATATTCACCCTCCGATGCTTTATTGACTGATTTCATTTATTTGCAGGAGATGGATTGGAGGTAAGCAGGCGGCCTCCTCGCGGCTCTATCGCGCAATGCATTGTGGAGGGTCAGCGTTCGCCTCTCTCGTCAGCGTGTGACAAATTAGCTAACGAGGAACGGCCTTCGCATTTCCACAAACTAATTAACCCGGCAGGTACTGAGACAAATTATAATATTTATGTAATATCATCTCGCATCTGTTTGCAAGGAGCACCGTACGTATCACCTGATCTCTCTTTTAGACGTGCGCGCTCACTTATTACACGTTCAAACAAGCAGTAGAACCATTTCTATTTTATAAATATGATTCTTGAGTTTTAAACAATGACAGGATGATTGCATAGCTCAGGCAGTGTTGATACAATGCCTCATGTCTTCGCTTTTAACCTCATATAGTCTCATTTTTGGCCACAACACAAGGTAGGCTATAGAAGATTTGATTTTTCATAACTATAAACGTATATAACAACGCTCTTGAATTATGATTTAATAACCAAATTTAATTAAATTCATAGAGATAATTCCAATATACATAATCATAAATATGCGTCTGGGAATTAAATCAATCCCTTTTATTACCTATTCTATTATTATGTTAGAAACTAAAAATATATTGAAGTTTACATATAGGCCTAAGTAAAATGGCTCAATAAAAAATCCCTTAATTTTATTATGGATGTATGAATTATAAATTATTTCATCCAGCAGTTATTGCGCCATATATACATGATTGTGGTATTATCGCAGTGGTCTGGAAGACAGACAGTGATGGCGCGCTCTTGATATTGTATTTGGCTGAGCCCTGATTTCTCATCTATGAGGTCATAATGCCAAGAGCCCGAGAGCCAATCAGAGAGCGAGTTAATGTCAACCCCTGCAACATCTCCAAACGAGAAGAAAATGTAGTGTTGGGAGAGATAATGACTCGATTTGATAACACTTAATAATCATTTTCAATAATAAGCCATTAGCAGACATTATAATGCAGATCAGTAGTTCGTATACATTCCAAAATGATTATAAATATATGAAAATAGAGGTTTTGTTAGTTTAATTTGAATGTAAAATAGGCCTGTTAAACATTGGACTATAAGTTAAAATAAAGTGTTACCTATTTATCAATCAACAAATAAATAAAGTTCTATTTTCCTCACAGAATTCCCAAGGAACAACAAAAGATGCGAGGTGTCAATAATGACATATTGAAAATGATTTTATTCGTTAATTTACATTCAATCGTTATAAACATGTTCAGGAAAGATCAAAGATCAAACATTTAAGAAATTTATATTGGTATAAGCACATACATGAACTTAGAACATATCACAAACTGACCGAATGAGAACAAGTTAAGAATGCTTTATCTACACAAAACATCCTATATATAACAGCATATAACAAAGTCATACTTTTCTTTTAAATGACATTTCCCCGTTGTTGTTGTTGTTGTTGTGTTGTTGTTTACCCTGGTTGGCACATGCAGTCAAGTTTCTTAATTCTTTTTGAGATATTTTCCTTTCTTTCTTCCACCGATTCATAAAAGTGTCCTAAAATTTGAACGATTTCTTCCATAATAATAATGATGATGATGATCATAATAATAATAAAAACGAGTGCACCGTCTCTCGCCTTGTTTCTCAAATTGCAAATGTGCAGATTGTTTTCTGTCCAGTTTGTTGACATTTTTGAATTTGCAAAACGAAAGTGCTAATAAATAAAAATTCAATTATTAAATAAATAGGACATAATAAATAAATACATTTCGGTTTTTTTTCAGCCTATGATGCTTTAGGTTTTATTTCCATCAGGTGCGCACAGTTCATGTTTACTACAGGACAGTCGTAGGCCTATCCTTAGACTTCCTTGTGCGTCACTGGGCCAGAAATGATGGGTGGACGAGAAACACGTCAAAGTATTAGGTGAAACTCATGGACACTGTGTGCTCCAGCGCTTTGCGGCGCAGGGACGCAATGCTCGTCCCTCTCCAGACGTCAGTGTCCGGGGAGCCACACAGCTGAGGCGAGCCGGTCACGTTGGTGGGGCCAGAGAGCGACGCGGGCACCATGCCGGGGAAGGTGGGTTGGTAGAGGTGGGACTGGAGGCCGGAGCCGTTGGAGGACATGTTGGACAGGCTCATGGAGTTGTGTGGCGGTCCGGCGCCCAGGCTGCACTGGGATAGAGACTGTGCCATGGCTTGTTGTCGGCCTAGGGCGGGCGGTAACTGCAGCTGGGAGACTCCCGGCATCCCGGCCGCCGCCCAGCGGGTGTCATTAGCGTGAAAAGAGCACAGGCTGTCGCCCATGACTGCTGCGGCCGCCGCGGCGGAGGAGAACTGCGGTAGGCCGTGGTGAGTGGGCAGCAAAGTGCCGGGAGTGCGAAACACGTTGGTGGTCTTCTTGCGCTTCTTCCATTTGGCGCGTCGGTTCTGAAACCAAACCTGCGAGCAGAGGGAACAAAAAGAGCTGTCAGAAATGCTTACATTGCGCTAGAATAGATGTAAAAGTGGGCATTTAATAAGGAAGTTTAATAAAACAGCAATGTCGAATATTGCTCATTGGGACATTTTGTGTGACTACGATGTATTCGTGTTTTTGGTATCTTTTACGTTCACTAAAATAAATCAAACAGACAATAAATAAATACTCATTCTAAAATAAACACTACATTGTGTGTGTTTTTTGAAACCAGAGCCTAAAGTTCTTGATGTCACATTATAGATTCTTAAGAATCAATCAATATTTTTAATAGTTTATAATAGAAAAGTTTTTAATAGAAACCAATAGTTTCTTGGTTCTATACAACGAATTGTTCTAAGGATGCTAAAGAAATAGGCTATAGATGTCAAACATACATAAGTTGCACAAAAGAAAAATACAGATGAACAAAAATATGAGCAGAAATAGCCTACACGTGACATAATAGAAACATATTATTGATGCATTGTTTATTTGTTTGTTTGCATACAAAATATAGTAACTTTAAATTGGTAACATCTCAATTAAATAGTTTTATTCAAGTAAAAAAAATGCTATTTAATATCAGTGAATCAACCTAAATACATCAATTAACACTGTACACTGTAAAAAAAATTCCGTAAAATTTACGGTAAAAAACCGGCAGCTGTGGTTGCCGGAATTTTACCGTAAAAAATACAGTAGCAACGTTTTAGGTTTTACGGTTTTAACTTAAATTTACAGTTAAATACCGTAATTTCATTAACTGATATAATGTTAATATACCAACCTATTGAAGTACTGAAATCTGTTTTGTACCTCTGTAATACACTGATAACCACCAAATGCAGGTGGTGATGAGAAAGTCACATGATGAACCAAAGCCCATCACAAGCAGCTTTTAAATAATAACATATATAGAAGGTGCACAGTGTCATTCACACAAACACCAAACACCATCATGATAACACACATGAAACTGAAATAATGCAACAAACATTAATTTAACAACATTAGGTGTAACACACAACCCTAATATACAAAACTGAAGAAGAAACAGTTATTTCAACAAAAAAAAACATCAAGTTTGAAATGTAACGCAGGGAATTCTGGGAATGTCAATTTACGGTTAATCACTGTAAATTATACGGTATTTTTCACTTCCAAAAACGGTATACTACCGTAAAATTAATGTCCAATACATATAATGTCCAATACAGTTTTTCACCGTATATAGTAAGGGAATT